TAATGGTATCAAGCAAACGAAAGCAACTACAGATAAGTGTGCATGTCACGCGTATTTCAAACCTATTAGAATAAGAATCAATCAAGGAAGGATATAAGTAAATTTTCATTCAATCACAGGCGAAATATTTTGAAATAGAGTTTCGGTGTAGGATCAAATCCTTAATCATGGAAATGTAGTACAAGAATCTGCATGCATGTAGAGAAATATTTATCTCGTTAAACGAAGATAAAACTAAAAATAACTTCAGTGCGAACATTGGGACGGAAGACTTCTACAAACAGGTTTCGAAAAATGATGGTATGTTGCTTTATCAACTTACCGTTTTATTGACTAAAATTCCTGACCGAAAGCTATGATTCGGTGAAACGGCTAAACAACTTGTAAATACAAAAATTGCTAAATATCACAATTTCAAAAACAGTATGGAACATATAGTAATAATGTGACAATATAACGTAAAGTTCTTTGTATTACTGAAACAACAACTGCTACCAAAACAATCGAACTCTTCATAAATGTTAAAAAAAACCAATCTAAACATACATTACCACTCAGTAGCAGTACAATTGCCAGACGGTACACAACAGACTTGCTGAACAACCGAGAGAGTTGCCTGCTCCTGATGATTTAAATATTCCAATGTGACTGATATGTCAAACTGCATGTTAACATAGAGTGAAATTAACCGCGAAAATGGCGCCTGACAGTATTCCCTACAAAAAATGAACGGTTAAAGAAGCTTTTGAAAGTATGGAGTGGCTTCTAAATATTTTAGTGCGCAACAACCGCAAACTAAAACAAAAACAAAATACTTCACTTAAATTCACAAAAAACTGAATGAAATCCACATTTTTCTAATCTCATTAGAATGAAAAATATTTTTTTTAGGATAGAATTCATCTCAATACGATGAAAATGTCTGATACAAAAGCCAATGTTTATCAAGCAACTTCATAATAAATCTCTTAGAAAAAAACCTACGCGACACCACCTTTCAATGTCACTGTATTGTTGAACTGTAAAGTTTGCTCTCGACTAGTTCTCGGTCCAACAAACACATCAGTGGTGTTGCCACCAACACCAATGACATCAGTTGACCAGGGTTGAAACTTCGATAAGATCGTGGCTGATGAATTTAGCACTTTTACAGAATAATAATTTGCATTCGATATATTGAATTCGTTCTATAATAAATTTCTGAGCTGTACAAATTTTAAAAGTACAGTGGATATGTTATGTGCAGATCTATAATGCAGTGAGATTTTTCTATGGTAACCAAATTTTTTTTAAAAAAAATGAGCAATTTACAATAATTTAAACTGCTCATCCGCACAGCAATTAACAATTGACCGGCTTGGAACTACTGCGTTGCAAAAGGTCCATTTGGTATATAATACGATTCAGTTACGCTGCCAGTTAAAAATATGCTAAATGCTAAAATAGTAGAGTATGATATATTAACGTAAATGAATGATTTTTAAATCATTCACCTGTGGAAGCTAGCAAAAATGAAAGTCATAAGCAACCAATTAATAACAAAAGCAGGTCTAAAAGTTACCATAAAATGAAAACTGATATGATTTTTGTCATGAGCAAAAACTGTTATGATTTCAACTGGTGGCCTTGTACTACTTAGATAAATCGCACGTGGCACCAATAAGAAAATTACAACACCTGCTAGTGAGAGACAGCCAAGAACGACGCAGAAAACGTAAAGCCAGCTGTAACGTAGTATATGAAAAATAATATCTAAATTAAATGCAGAAATAAAATGAAAATTGGAAAATTTCCCTATTCTTCCCAAGTAAAATTAAAAAGGATAACCATCAAAAAATAAATGATAACATACGTTTTTTTAGGTTTCAAACGATCGTCATTAACTGGAATTAGAGCTACCAATGTTTCCTCTAATTCTGAAAAAGAATTTCTACCATTCTGTTCCAAATGAAATGTCGATTCGATTTCCCTAGCAACAAACAACTCTACTAAGCATTTTCTTTCAGTATAGGAAGACCAATACATAAAAAAGCAAACTAAACTTTACCTTTTGGGATTCGTCCAGAGCCTTTACAACTCGGACAAGGCACTGAACCTCCCATCAGTTCAGTATAGCCCATCGAGTTTGTTCTCGGTGGAACGCTACACTCATTTGTAAGCTTTATTCTGGAACCAAACGACGAACAACTTTCACCAGCAGAATTACCATCGATAACACGACGACGCATCTTATCCACTAGATTTCTGGTACCTTCGACGATTGAATACATGGTGATTTACGCTTTAACGTCCAAACCAGCAGCACTTCAGCACATAAAGATGACTAAAATTATTTCTGTAAAGCAAAATGTATTCACTATTCGGTATTCGCTAGGTGTTCGCTATTTGGTCCAGAACAATATAAAATCTTTCGTAAAAGTCGAAAATTGCCTTAAACAAAACTTAGTAGACATCGAAAAACAAGCAATACGCAGTACTCTATAGGGTTCTGTATCTCAGCGTAATAGCGGAACAAAGAAGGATCACACAAAGCCAAGTACATATCAAATACCCAAAAAGTCTGATGTACACGACTTATATTTCATTGCAAGCAAGACGTCTAAACAACTGTTAAGTGAAATGCATAACTTTACATCACTAGTTAGTCATTCCAGTTAACGAGATTCTAGAAAAAAATCAAGCAACTCAGAAGAACACACCGCCGAAACATCTTACTGATGAGAGAGGCAAAAAGACAAGGAAAGAGTGGCACAGAAAACATAACATCCATACGATTCCTGGCGAAAACACAACTTCCCCGTATTCAGGTGAACTGAAATGAACTGGCCTCAAAAAGTTGTCATCAGTGCAGTTAAGGAAGTACCCTTGAATACACACTTTCCGGAACAAGAAGGACACACTGAGTTTTTCACGTAATTTAAATTCCTCCAGAGAACTTCGAGTCGATAAAACTTTTGGAAACAATAAACTTTACAACGAAGTTCACAGAATCCATACATATCCAAATGTTTATCAGAAATTTGCTTTAGATAATCTTATCATGAACAAAACCTATACATTCATCATTAATGATTTCCAAAGCAAAAAAGGAAAGCCGTTAGAAAAGACCGGTCATTTTTTAATCATTGAAAATTCAGTTAAAGTTGTAAATAAAAAGTTATCGCGCGTATATAAGTATAGATAATAATTTTCTTAGAAGCAGACATTCTTTGCCGATCTAAAAAATGTTTCTCATACATCACTCTCATACATTCCTCACCTAGAAAATGAAAGCACATTACAGAATTACGAAATGATATAGAAGCATTTTCAATGAATAGAGGTAAAGATTTTTTTACGCTACGAATACTACTTCGCTAATAATTTCTGCTAACCATGAAGCATTAATACCACGCCACTACTAAATATTGACATTGACGTATATAACAGAGGTATGAAAGTCGAAGTAAATTCACATAACAGACTAATTATGCACATAAATAAAGAAGTTGGCATCCTAAATATGCGCCACGTTTTCTTCATTAGTGGGGAAATTTTCTCGATACCGTAACAGACTCTCGAATTTTGTTTCTAAAAGTTCGGACAATATTCCTGGTCCAGATTCATCGTAGATCGCATCACAGAGAGGTAATAACTGCAAAAATTGACAAGACCATTATCTGAATCTAAGCATAAATTCCAACATGATCGTTTCTTCTGAATATCACGAAAAATGAGAATTTTATTGCTTTTTTTTTGGCTGCCATGATTTAGAGAAAATAATGTTTAGTGACTGGTAGACGTTGCTCTTATCACTGAAATCAAATGGAAAAAGCGCACTACAAAGTGAAATCACTTTGTGATTTTCATAAAGTGATACCATTCTAACCGAAAAATTATGAACCACATTCAGCACATGAAGCGATGTTGGAACATATATATATATAAATTGTACAATTAATATTATAAAATGAAGGGGACAAGAAAATTCCCGATACAAAGTGTAAGGTGTAACTATGTTCAGAAAAAGATAATTTCATAGAAAAACTAGTTTATGAACTAAGAACCGAACGATTTTAATACACCATAGAACATGAATAATTTGTATATTTTCAATCAACTTATGAAAATTTTTTCGAATGTGAACGCACATGAAACGAGGCACTAAAAATGATTCCTATGAGTAAAGTTTTCTATATTCCCGGTAATTCCAAAACATCTAACTGAATATGAAATTGTGCAATGAAAAATACAACTCGAAAAAGATAAGAAATATTGCTGACCTGAGAAATGATGAATATTGATGTATACTGTTGCAAAGATGATTGCGGCGCAGTTTTCAAATGATTCAAATATTCACTCCAAAGTTTCACCATGAATGAGTCAGTAAGACAGCGCAAATATGAAGATCTGAAGAAATGTTATCATTTCCTCGCAAATCCGTACTACCTATTCAAGCAACATTGCAAATGGAGGGAGAGATTTCGACAGTTATCAGAACACTATAAAATCGAGCAAATCTCGACATTACAGAAAGACTTCAAGATTTTATCATTTTGAGAAAATGACCTTATCATTGCAAGATCGCGAGCCAGCACATAGGCAACTCGGGAAAAATGACAAGCATTCTGGGTTATATTGATAGAAGAACGCTGCGTGGTAGACAATGCCCAATCAACTGTGAGTCCCATATCTGACATTTCCTCTATGAAGCGGTTTACGTTCGATTCACTTTCCATATTGTATGCTCTCCAACGTTCTTCCTAAAAATCATGATGGGAGCTTAAGAAACTATACAACGTTTTAATTTACAATATATTGTGAATTCTGAAAGAACAATTTTGGAGGGAAAATTTTATCCTTCGATAGAGCATTGGAACATTATTTAATTGAATCACAAGAAAAATCCATATTTAAAAACTGACAGCTTTAAAATCCAAAAATCAATTACTGTTTGAGAAGGGCTAACATAGGTGATAATCCTCGTAAAGAATCACTAACGCTGTCCAATATCTGTCCAAGCTTGATAGAGAATGGTAAATCACACTTCAGTAAGCTGTGAAGTAAATTTTTTTTTTTTGCAAGACAATGAATACGGAAGTAAGAAAGTTTCCCAAGAATATCGCAAAACCTACTGAAACTCGAAGACGAATTGATTCGATTATATTGGTAAAATTTGTTTCAACTGCAATCTTAAGTGATGGTGCAAGCAGACGATGCACTTCAAAAGATAAATCAACACCAACTGCAATTAAATTATCGCAATGTACCATCAATATTCGCCAGGTATGTGCAAGTACTGCCATTGTTGGTGCTACCTAGAAAAAAGCAAATAATGGTTGTTTCTAGCATTTTTTTTTTGAACTTTACTGAACTGAATCTTAAAAGCACACAAATTGGAAGCGTGATAAAAATTTTCTTCTTTTAAAATAGGATCGTATTTAGTGATGAAAACCCCCTCCCAATGAAGCAATATGTTTAAATGATCACTACGTACCTCGATAACATGTCTTCGTATTAAAGAGAGCATAACACTCAATTCTGCGGAACACCAATGCAATATAAGAGAAAAGTGTCCAGGTTGCATCAAGAATTCCTTTACAACGTCTGATATAACATCCAGAAACTGTTGTGATAACTGCCGTACATACGACAATGGTTCTTCGCTCATTGTCAATTCTCGAGTAGTTGCTCGTAACTGAAAATAAATTAAGAAGAAAATCCATGAGGTAAACTTACCTTTAGTGTTGCGGTTGAATCAAACTTGACTCATTAAGATATTTGTTTGATTTCAAGAAACTTCATGATTTTAATCTTCATTAAGGACGACAGTGAATTCTAGCATCCTTCGTATCTTGAGCTTCTAATTTTTCTTCTATCCTTTGATTTTCCAATCGCGTGTTCATTAGTTCAGGGAAAAACGTGGATCGTTCACTGCAGGCGAATGGCAGTGACTCGAAAATTATCTTTATCTCAACGAAAAGTCTTACTGACGAAGTACACCAGCATCTTTGAAATCAGAAAAAATGGGGACGAAGCAGTTATTGAACAAATACGTAAACAATGGTTATTCTATAGATTTCTTCATCTTTAAATAGTCTAATAGTACATTTTTAAACTGTAAAAAACAAGCTTTTGATTAAAATGTTCATTTCCACTTCCCGTCATCTCATAACTGAAAAAAAAAGTAAAACGTAAACAAACAACTAACCACAGTACTCCTTTTTCTCAAGTAAAGATCAACTGCTTGTGATGCTCGGCCAAGCATCGTCAGAAGATTGATTGCTTTCTTAACAGCTCGAGGACCACCATGTAGAGCACCTGGACGACGAACCTGAAAATTCAATGGTGAAAGTGAACTCTTTTCAACTTTACCAACTTTTCCGAAAGGATTTGAAAGGTTTCACTGTCACTGATGAAAAAGTTTTCGCATGTTAATAAAATCACCTTGCCTCTTCGCTTAGTAATTGCACAATCTGAGTTTCACGAAGTGTTAGTTGCGCATCGATTGCTGCTTCTCTTGTATTACAACTTCTCCATTCCGTTATCAACTCTACCTAAAGCACTCGACCTATTACACAACTTTCCCACTCCAATATCAACTTTATAAACAAATTTACAAAGACACAATCCTTATAAATTTGTTTTGATCTTTAGTCTCGAACATCCATAGTCCTTTAAATCAGTTTTAATTCCACCTGATTCACAAGCTTCTTCTTTAAGAATTCAAGCAATTTGTAATATTTCTTATTAAATGAACTTCGAAGACTACCGCGTGCTCCATATCTCGATGAGCAATGCAGTCGTCCAATTCTGCAGGTAATTCATTAAGCCACGCACTTTCATCAGGTGATTTAACAATAGCCGATTCCGCAACGGGCACAAGTTGGTTAGATACTTCTACTTTCGCTGACAAGTCTTGTCGACGTTTTCCACGAATTGTTGCTTGACGTACCAATGATCCCTCATGAAGGAGTTCTCTTTTGGCGTTCTCGATGCAGTCCAACCATTCTTTTTTAATTCGGGCACTTTCAGCGAGAAAAACCCTGTTTGGAAAAGTTCCTTCAAGATTAAATTAATTTCTTTCCTACAAATGATGCTTTTTGCTTTTAAGGATGGAAAATACTGAAAGACAGAAAGCATTCGCATATTCGAGTGAATTAGTGCCTTTTCAGCAGTACCAATAAACGTATTTTCTCTTAACGTATGCCGTGCATTTGAGTGGTGTCTTACTGGTAAAATATCTCGATATAGACAGAATACCTTTGTCCTGGAAAAATTAAGAGCTTAAACATGCTGGTCGCAGTTTCGCCATTTTCTCTACCCTTGATATTAACAGCTGCTATATTATTCAATGGATGTGAAGATTCCAACTGAAAACGATACTTCCCTAAAAATAATACCACTTTTATAATGATAAAAATATAAATTTGTGATTTCTCCCATTGAAATTTTATAAAACAAAACACACGCAGAACTGATGATCACTTTATAACCTGAAGATGGTTGACCAATGAGTAGTCGATCTGATAACAAAATAAGCATAACATTGTGTTGTGGTTTCATGCTATCGCTGTCCAGTTGAACTACTTCACCGTGCATGATCACTCGATTAGAATTTGGTAAATTATTTAATAGAGTCTGTAAATTTGCGTGACAATTAAGTTACAGTAAATAGAAATAGAAGTACAAGAATTTAATACAAACAGGAACATTGCATCTCAAAGAGATATATCACTGTTTCTTTGAAAAGTATTGCCTATTATCACTGTATACAGTTGAAGACTTACAGCAATACCATCCATTTTCTGCATCAATATATTCATTGGACTGACGTTGAACGAAGAAGTGTGAAGACTAGCAGTTCCAACAGAAGAACGATCTTCCCCAGTCATTTGCATCAATGTTTCAACAAGCATTCGCTGATCCGATAGCAGTGATGAAAGTTCATATATTTCCCGTTCCAGATCTGATAAAAATAGCAACTTTCAGACAAAAAATAGAGAATACAGAGAAAATATTTCTGCAAGAAAATTGATATTAACGAGCAAAGATAAAAAAATTTAAATAAAAATGAGTTTTCTGGATATACATTTGCATTTGGCTAATGTGAACTGTTTTCGCACCCAGTACCAAAGTTTTTTAACTAGAATTTGATGCATGCTTTCTTTTACAAAACAACTTTTTAAAGTGACGAAACACACTTAAATTTCATCTCAAGTTTATGAAATTAAAATAACTCAGATAATTACATAATTAAATAAATGACCGATTATAGACAAAAAAGCTTATTGTGAAGTTGCACTAAGTGTTTACATATTTGTCACAAAAACTTACAGCAAAATCTCTACCAGAAAAAACACAAACAAATTCTTTCCACTTTTTTAAACAATCTTATATGTATTTGAGAAATAATGCTAATGGAATAGATCAAGGACCAAGAAGGCAAAAAATATCGAATATTATGAATGTATTTAAATTATGAAGAAACGTAACGTGAAACTTCTCTAGCGGTATCAATGAACTTTTTATAGTTCAAAAAGACACTCTTTTTCACCGATTCAGATGACTGCGCATTGATTGCATTTAGCCTCGTACAAAATGCTTGCAACTGCCGTATTTCATCGCCAGTTTTCATCTCTTTTAACTGGTCCCGCACATCTAAAATAACTAAAAACTGAGATTCATTTTCTCCATTTCTGAAATGGGTTTAGCATGACAAAAGTTATGAATCGCCTTTGCAACCATATTAAGGTTATGTTTATCAGACATTTAGTTACAAAAATGGAGTCAGTTTCATCATAGGAAGATGAAATAACCTGTCCTGCAGCAACAGAAGAAATATGAAGACTTAACAGAAAAGATACAGAAGAAATATATAGACTTAAATTAAAATTCAACATTTTGAAATGTCAAACAAATGTGCAGAAAATTTTGAGCAAAAACACCAACAAGATATTGCGTCGAAATCTTCTCCACCGAAATTATCAATTACTGTATTTTCCACAGCATTTGAAGACGTCATCGAAGCCTAATGGGAATACATTAAAATAGCAAACGTGAGAGCTAAACGATCCATTCACAAAACTCCAGATATGCAGCCATATGTGAGTATGAATCATACATGACTGATATAACGACAAACACGACAAACTTCAAGCATCTGTGGTACGCGAAATACTTCACCCCCGCCGAACATCCACCCGAATCAGTCATCCATGCCTCATCAGTCCCGCTCTCCAATTACACAACGAAAATTACTCGTACCCATTTATTGCGCTACAGCGCAAGTAACAGTGGGCGGTTCTTTGAAACAGTTATTCGGACTGCAGTAGTGTTGAGTGCATCCTGTTCGCCGGTGGTCTGTTTCCGGTATGATTAAAGGATTAGCATGCGGAGAACCGAACATTGAGGGACTAACCAGTTTATTGATTAATTGATGTATCATTGTCCTAGAATACTTTCATCGATCTCGAGTAATGATTAATCGTTCTCTTATTTTGCAATGTGGTAAGGATGCAGCTGGACGAATAATTTTTCCTAATTAAAATTGCAGCAATGGGTGTGAAGGATCTATCGAAGGTGATCGGGGATCACTCGCCGGGTAGTATACGACTCAAAGAATTTAAAGGATATTTTGGTCGCAAAGTGGCGGTGGATGCATCAATGTGCCTCTATCAATTCCTCATTGCGGTGCGACAGGACGGATCACAGCTTCAGACGGAAAGCGGCGAAACAACCAGGTGACTTGCTATGATACTTATAGCTCTCAGAAGAAACTGGATTTACACATATGACGATGAGACACCTTCCTCTCCTTACATGTATCAGTGTCGAGGTTTTTGCACCGCACTACGTTCTTTGTATCTGTGTACAAAATGAGCCCTACCAATTAAACTAAAAAATAAGGCGACAAATGACTTGTTCCCGTTTAGTAATCCATCAGTTTGCATTAAAAATGACTCGATCTTTTTCCTAGTCATCTTCTTGGAATGTTTTATCGAACTATTCGAATGATCGATAATGGAATAAAACCAGTGTATGTATTCGACGGTAAGCCACCGCAGATGAAAACGAGTGAATTGGAGAAACGTATTGAGCGAAGAGCCGAAGCAGAAAAGCAGCGAAGTGATGCTGTCGAACTAGGCGACGAGGCATCCGTCAACAAATTTGCGAGACGTCTTGTAAAGGTTATCACTTCCTTCATATTTCTTCGTTCAAGGAGAAGAGTGGTTGGTTGAGTTAGTAAGTGTTAGTTCACATTCTTTTCTTTATTCTATGTTTCAAAAATTTTTCTTGTATTCACGGTTTTGCTTAGACAGTTAAGCAAAGGTGAAATCTAATAAAAGTAGTAGTTCATAAAATCTTTCTCTTGTGCTATAAATATATTCTTCTTATGTTAATACCACTAGAAGATGTCTGTTTCGCTACGAGATATATTCAGAAAATCTTGAATTTGCGTTATAATTTATTTATTGCTTTTTAATTTCAAATTCAATCATATATGTTTTTATTTTCTGTAGCATCTAGAAAGTATGCATGAAAACTATTTCATTACTTATTGTTATTGTTCTGTCCAAGTTTTCTGGATTTCAAGGTTACAAAAGAACAAAATGAAGAAGCTAAACGGTTGGTAACATTGATGGGAATTCCAGTATTGGATGCTCCATGTGAAGCGGAAGCTCAATGTGCCGCTCTTGCGAGAGCTGGTAAAGTGTTTGCTACGGTTTCTGAAGATATGGATGCATTAACTTTCGGTTCACCCATTCTTTTGCGTCAAATGATAGCAAGGTTAATCAAAAATGATTCAAAGAATAGTCTAGAGTACAGTGAAATGTGCTAACCTATAGTGAATAAAGCTTTTGGAATCTATTAACCTAATTTCATTAAGGATAACAATGTTAGCTCCATAGCTGCAAATTATAAAAATTCTTGTTATCTGATTTGGCACCATCCATAATTTTCAAATGTGCAAGAATGAGGTTTTATTGAAGCATACATATTGCATTAATATATAGTTGGCCATTATTAATCACACAGGGTGTTTGCAGTTCACAGCTACTTCTGTTTTTTTTTTTTCACTAGAATCAAGATTCATAAATGTGTAGTTATGTATAAGTTTTTAATGACTAATAATTCATAAATAGTTACTTGTTGAGTGAATTAACACTGGCTTGCCCTAAATAATCATGAGGTTTATTTTCAGTGAAGCGAAGAAGCTGCCAGTGAAGGAAATGAATTTGAATCAAGTTTTGAAAGATTTCGGAATGAATATGGAACAATTTATAGATCTCTGCATTCTATTAGGTTGCGATTATGTATCAACCATTCGGGGCATTGGTCCAAAAAAAGCATTTGAGCTTATCAAGAAGCATGAATGCATCGAAAATGTTCTCAAGATAATTGATCAAACGGTTTGCAGTTCTTTGTTTACATATATTTTTAAATTGTCTTCATACTATCTCACTACTATCACATGTACACTGATGAGTACTTTCAGAAATATGCGATACCTAAAAATTGGCAATACAAGGAAGCACGACGACTTTTCTTGGAACCGGATGTCATGGATTGTGAAAATGTTGAAGTAAATAAAAATGTTATAAAGGAATTATTTTTTCTCCTTTATATTTATTTAAACAAAAATAGCTGAATTTCAGTTAGTTTGGAAAGAACCGGATGTCGAAGGGATTGTACAATTTCTATGTGGTGAGAAAAGTTTCAAGTAAGTTTTGTCGAATTTAATAGATTTTTAATTTTTGTAGAAGATTTGGAGGAAATCTCACTCGTTTATTCAGAATTCAGCAGTCATCCATTGTTAAATGCAAATTTCAGTGAAGACAGAGTGAGGGGTAGCTTAACTAGAATGCAAAAAGGACGTCAGGCTGCACAACAAATTCGTATCGACTCTTTTTTTTGGTAAGTAAAGTAGTTACTTCTGAAACAACAAAAAGGAAAAATGAAGATAAAAATAATCTGCAAAAACGAGCGCCGAGTTTGGGCAAAAAAGCAAAAAAGTAAGTGACATTAGCTTATGTAAAAGCAGCCGTTCTTCCTTCATTTTTCTTCGGCAGATTTATGGAGAAATCCTCAACTGTTCCTGATTTGCAAACCAAATTGAATTGTCGTACTCGCGAAATTATTTTTTTGTTTTTGTGTTGTTTACGCTGCAATTTCTGGGCCCGTTATCCTCAGTTTTAGTGTCAGGTATGGTTATTCAAATTAACGAATGCACGCAGATTTAAAGAACTAAAAAGCGTAAAAAGTTTCAGTAATTATCTTCTGGAATTTTTAAGCAGTTCTTATTAGTAGTCATATTCTCTGGATTTCTAGAAGAACTTTATCAAGATAATTTCAATTATATTATCCAGGCTTTCTTTTTATGTCATTTCATTTTCATCGGTTAAGCTTTATGTTATGAAGTTATTGTTCTCGTTGTTTTACTGATGCTGTCGTAGTTGATCTTTGTGTACAACGCTTCTAGACATTTTTCCTGGAATTTGTTTATAAACTACAAATACACTGTTTACTTTCAAGAGAAATATATTACGAGTAGGAGATGATTGTCTTCACTTGTTCTAGATTTTCTCATTTCTAAATTTTAAATAAGATTTTTTGATGAAGGGCATGCTTTACCTTACTTTCCGCCCTGCAGCATTCATGAGATTATGGAAAAATGTGTGTTGCTGTCATTATGTATCTATTATTCATCCTGTGTTTAAAGGAATGATTTAATTTCTGGAAAACATTTTGAAAAAGCAGTAGATTGTTGTTTATATGATCTAAACTTATATTCATGTCTATTTTAGATTTGCAAATATACTTATCCTTGTCTTGTTGTGCTTTAAAAAACTTTCCAGTGAAAAAGTTTGGAAAAATGAAAATTTTTGAAGAAAAAATTTGGTTGAGCGCAAAACGTATAGGAAGCATCCTAGCAAGAATTCGCCATAATTACCACAATTGCAAAGAAACTGAATAAGTGCCTAAAATTTGTTGAAATCGTAAAATGTGGGACGGAGGTTGCCGCAAAGTGAGAGTGTATCGTAAACGTGGGCATCCATGTTACGCTACCAATACATTCTAACATGCAATACGTGAACTTTGAATCAGTAAGTTGTCAGTAAAAACCGAAATATTTTCAGTATGAAAATAACGGCGACATTGTAAAGATATGTGGGTCAACTGGTATTGTGAGGTGTTGTAAATCAACTTATGTTGATTATCAAATTAATGCACAATGTCGGTATATTTTAAAGAGTCTCAAGTCAATTTGTCAGCATATTGTAAAGAATTTCAGGTCATCTTAGAATCAATCAATTCTAACTTCCTAGATTGTTGTAGACAAACTCCCACTATATAAGGGATACAGACACAGAAGGAATCCCCTTCTATAAGTCATTCTATAATTTAGTAGTTTTCTACAATTCAGTTCTTCAGTCAGTCACTCATGCAATAGTATACACCCAAATCATTGAAAAAACTGTGCGCTCCCAATTAATCAATCAATTCAACCAACTTGGTAACCAACTTTGTATTTAATATTCTCTGGAAATTTCCTTGTAACGTATAATACTTCTCCATCTATCAATAAACCGTCGTCAATCAATGTTCGACTGTCCCTGCACACTAAAATTTCCAAAATTTTCACACAAAATCCCCAACACATGTTAGCATGCATAAACTGCATTAAGCTGCGCGTAATAAGTTTCATGTGCTGCGAATATCTATATTGTGAATAGTTGCAGAGGAGAAAAAGAAGAAAGGTAGAAATATTCTACGATGTCTGCGATGTCCTCCAATAAGTTGTTGCACCATAGGATGGCAACAGTCATTCAATAAAATTAAGAGGAAATGAGTTTCACTTAATTAATCTTACATTCGCTTCAATATAGCTGCAAAAGGTTTATCTATGAGAG